CAGTTTGAATAGTTACAACAACAACAACCCTGATTTGGGCATATTTTAGTGAATAAAAGCCCCATGGTCAGTTCGCTGCTGTGTTGGGGACATGTCATCCATGTGTATCTGGATGACCTGAGTTTCATGAAGCTGCATGTTAATCCCAGAAACGTCATGAATCTTAGCACAAATTAATATTTGCCAGAAAACTTGTGCCAGAAAATTTGTTACTCTGTTTTCCAGACTTAACTGATCCCATGTGATTTAGATGACCAGTCAAGCAACACAAATAATGGGTACAGTGTAATCAAAGCAGTTTGTGAACCAGCCCATAGGCTGAAAATTAATTTTGAAATTATGAGAACATAAAAACGGCCATACTGGGTCAGACCAAAGGTCCATCTAGCCCAGTTTCCTGTCTTCCAACAGTGGCCAATCCCAGGTGCCCCAGAGGGAATGAATAGAACAGGTAGTCATCAAATTGATGACTTATTGATAAACTAGGCAAATACAACTTAGATAGGGCCACGATAAGGTGGGTGCATAATTGGCTGGATAACCGTAGTCAGAGAGTTGTTGTTAACGGTTCTAAATCCTGCTGGAAAGGGATAACAAGTGGAGTTCCTCAAGGGTCTGTTTTGGGACCCGTACTGTTCAATATCTTCATCAATGATGTAGATATTGGGATAGAGAGTACGCTTATTAAGTTTGCAGATGATACCAAACTGGGTGGGATTGCAACTTCTTTGGAGGATAGGGACATAATTCAAAACGACCTTAGCAAGTTAGAGAAATGGTCAGAGGTAAACAGGATGAGGTTTAATAAAGAGAAATGCAAAGTGCTCCACTTAGGAAGGAACAATCAGTTCCATACATACAAGATGGGAAGCGACTATCTAAGAAGGAGCATAGCGGAAAGGGATCTAGGGGTCATAGTGGACCACAAGTTGAATATGAGTCAACAGTGTGATGCTGTTGCAAAAAAAGCAAATATGATTCTAGGTTGTATCAACAGGTGTGTTGTAAGCAAAACTCGTGAAGTCATTCTGCCGCTCTACTCTGCACTAGTTAGGCCTCAGCTGGAGTACTGTGTCCAGTTCTGGACGCCACATTTCAAGAAAGATGTGGAGAAATTGGAAAGGGTACAGAGAAGAGCAACAAGAATGATTAAAGGTCTAGAGAACATGACCTATGAAGCCAGGCTTCATGAACTGGGCTTGTTTAGTTTGGAAAAAAGAAGATTAAGGGGGGACATGATAGCGGTTTTCAAATATCTAAAAGGGTGTCACAAGGAGGAAGGAGAAAATTTGTTCCTCTTGGTTTCTGAGGACAGGACAAGGAGTAATGGGCTTAAAGTGCAGCAGGGGAGGTTTAGATTGGACATTAGGAAAAAATTCCTAACTGTCAGGGTGGTCAAATATTGGAATAAATTGCCAAGGGAGGTGGTGGAATCTCCCTCTCTGGAGATATTTAAGAACAGGTTAGATAGACATCTGTCAGGGATGGTGTAGACAGAGCTTGATCCTATTATTCTATGATTCTATGAAATGGTCCCACTCCTGACAAACAGAGGCTAGGGATACCCATCCCTGTCCATTCTGGCTAATAGCCATTGATGGATCTATCCTCCATGAATTTATCTAGCTCTTTTTTGAACCCGGTCTTCACAACATCCTCTGGCAAGGAGTTCCATAGGTTAGCTGTGCATTGTGTGATGAAATACTTCCTTTTGTTTGTTTTAAACCTGCTACCTATAATTTCATTGGGTGACCCCTACTTCTTGTGTTATGGGAACAAGCACATAACTTTTCCTTATTTACTTTCTCCACATCAGGCAGACCTTTATCCTATCCTCCCTTAGTCGTCTCTTTTTGAAGCTGAGAAGTCCCAGTTTGTTAATCTCTCCTTATATAGCTGCCCTTTCATAACTCCCTAAGCAATTTGTTGCCCTTTTCTGATGTTTTCTCCAGTGCCAAGGTATCTTTTTCAAGATGAGGTGACCACATGAGCATGCAAGTGAATACTTTTCGGTGAATACTTAAAAATAAATTCACAGAAATCAGCACCAGTGCCCAAATGGATCGCTAACAAAACAGGGGACTGGCTTCCTACTACATAGTATTTCTACTACAGCTGAGCAACTGGAGGGGAGTTTGAGTGGCAGTTGCTCAGGGCCAGATGTATTATCAGGGGCTTCCTTAATCTGAGCACATGGGTCACAGGAAGGGCTATCTAATGTGTCTTCATACCCCTCTCTGCAGTCACCCCCACCTCCTGGCATGTGATCAAAAGTGTTTATAACATGCTCTGACTATGTTTGTCCATGATGCTGGGCCATCTCTTTATTTTCTGGCTTGAAATCCTGCATTGGGCTTGCATTTTAAGTTGCTTCAGTCAAAGCACTCAAGGTTTTCTTCTGCAGAGAAAGAAGAAGGTTATTTTTCACATCAGATTTGAAAACCTTGTTAGGGCCAGGTTTTTCAATGCTTTCAATAGCTTGTGACGTCGGAAACGTAGATTTGCAACAACCTTAGGTCACAAGTGAAATGCATTTGTGCGGTCTCAGCCTGCTCTGGAGTAGGTATTTGCCAGCCTTGATAGAGACCAGGGTGATTAGTGGTCTGAGTTCCAAGTAGATCCGGATTAGAATAGCAGATTGAGACTAAGGTGTCTTGGCAGAGCAATGAGGGGTCCTGCTGTTGAAATAGCAAGCAAGGCTTAGACCAGGATTTGGATGCATTAAGCAGAGCTGTGTGTGTGTGACAGTTTACAATTCTCCTGCCTTCATGACACATGGGTTGATTCAGTCTTGTCAGCCCCTCACTTTCCTGAGCCTTAAAACTGCATCAACTTTCCCCCCTGAACAACCCCCTAAGTGTGTGTGGCTGAAAAGTCCCTCACGAACCAACCGTTTGCCTGTGGGACTGGAGGAATGCTCAGGTGGATGATGTCATGGAATTTCCCGCCTTCTGATTCCACATCAGAGGAACCTGGGGGCGGGGCTAGTTTGGCAGCCATCGAGACCTTCTCTTCTGATCCAAATGCAAAGCAGGGCTTGGAAAGTACTTCATCCAGCTGCACAAATAGTCAGCAGATGAGACAGGCAGAGTTGCAAATCTGGACTGAAACTGAAGCATTGCTAGAAGAAAAATGTTAGCCTGGAGCCCCAGCAGCCTGTCTTCACCCATGTGTTTGTTTAGCAGCCACTGCTAAGGCTTTTAGATTGGGATTTCTGTCGCTCCCTGCTCGCAATGCAGCAAGGAAAGTGAGGTGCCGGTTCACGTCTTTAAGGGAGATGCAGGCAAAGGCACCAGCCAAAGGCAGGGTTGGAGTTTTTGATTTTGGACATGGCCTCCTGGAATGGCTCCCCCAGCCAGTGTGAATTTGTATTATCTCCAGGGCACAGAGGGGCCAACAGAATTGCAGAGCCCTTGGGGAAGGTGGGAGTGACTGGGCTGCATGCTCCCAGAAGGGACGGGGCCTCAGGAGGAAGGGGCAGTACAGGTGGGGTAGCCGCCCCTTGCCAGCTACACAGCACTGTCTGGGGCACCAGCAGTGATTTAAAAGGCCTGGGATGGAGGCCAGGAGCCCTGGACCCTTTTGAATTGCTGGGCCTGGGGCGGTTGCCCCTTTTGCCATCCAGTGAGCAACGTGCAGCCTGAAGGCTACATGCGGCCCACCAGGGTTCTATGAGTGGCCCATGAGACATTTTGTTGGACCCACGCACAGGGATGCCAGATTCCACTGGCTTTGGGCCGCGCAGATTTTTTATGACTCAAGTGACAGGCACGTAAAGCAGGGGCACATGACATGAGGCGCATGGAGATTGTGCCCAACATTGGCGGTGCGAACCGTGCACTCCCTCTGCCTCCAGTCAACGCGCTGCGATGGTTCAGTCCGCACAGCCCACAAATTGGAGGTACGCAAGCGCCGTGAGCAAAACTCCCCTATCCCGGGAGACCGTCTTGGTTACGACCATCTGGTGGCCCACTGAGAGGAAGGGGGAGATACTCATGGGGGTTTGCCCCTCACTGCTCTGGAGACTAATGGGCAGGGTGATGCTGGCAGCTAGGTTAGTTTTCCTGACTTGGAGCGAATTCAGGGAGCCGCTGTCACAGCCCTGGAGGCTGCTGCCTTCAATTCATCGGGGCTGTGACTGCCGCCTTACATTCATCCTGGCAATAAACAGGGAGGTTCAGCCTGGCCCAGCCAGTGTATCTGCACCCTGGCCCGTGCAAGGGAACAGGAGCGCTGTCTCCTTGGGCATTCAAATGGCTTCAGATGGGAAAGGCGTCTCGTTCTGAACCTCTGTCCTAAAAGAGCCCTCTTGAGCTGCCAGCTTCTTAAAGTCAAGCCAGACCCATGTTCCTTCAGCTTTAATTTCACTAGTGCAATGGGGACACCAAGTGGCCAGGTAGAGTAGTGCAAGTTGTGCATACTTGTGAATGTCCCAAGCAGGCATCTGCGACCTGATTTTTTTCCATTTGGGAGTGTCTGTAGGAAATAATTCAGGCATCCGTCCTCCTCCCTGCAAGCGTCTCTCCAGGTCTCCGAAATAGTCCTCACTGTTCGGAGACATCGGGAGACAGCCGTGTAAGTTACGCCTCCCAGTCGGGAATAGTTACCACCACATGCTGTTAATCAAGAGCTCTGTATATTGTATAGCGCTTTCCACCCAGCAACCGAATGCATTTTACCACTATCGCTAAATTAGGGATCGTCTCCTTCCTGAGAAAGCACAGAGGATAACTACCCCCCTTTTTGTGCTGAGGCACAAAGAAGCTGCGATTTGCTCGGTGGAAGAGTTAGGAACAGAATCCTAAAATTCTGGCGCCCAGTCCCACACAGGAACCACCAGCCCCCCAGGACAGTTCGACACCGGTCAGTGGACTTTGCATAATGAAATACAGCAGCACCAGTGGACTCGCAGAGGGACTGTTCTACTAAAATAACAGACCCGGTAGTCTGGTTTGGAGCCCTGTGCTCTGATGCGTTCCATTGCTGTCTTTGTCCTTTAGGTTCTAAGGAGTCTCTGTTCTCCTCAACCATCACAGCCAGCGAGGAAGCCATGACGGTCCTAGAGGAAGTGATTATGTATACTTTTCAGCAGTGTGTCTACTATATCTCCAAGGTACGTGCACCCCGAGTCCTCCCTCTCATTCCCACTAATGCATAGCCTAATCCAGAGGGCCCGAGCCAAGGGAGAGGAGGAGCTTTATGCTGATGGTATCTCACTGGGAATCAAAGCGGAGGCGGGGGAGAGTCTGTCAGCTGAGCACGTCCCTCTCCATCCTCTCTGGGACAGCAGGTTCTTCTTACTGCTGAGTTCTAGCACATACACTGGTTTCTTCAAGCCTCCTCTGTATTAAGAATCTCCGATCTCAAGGATGCAGTACTAGAAAGGCAGGCACCAGGGAATTTGACTTTCTCTGGCTTTCCTTAGTCTCTGGAGAGTAAATCTCAAGGTCAGATGTGACTTTTTGAGGGGTCAGAAATGATCAAACTGGTTGCTTTTTAAAAAAACACATAGATGATTTTGAGCGGCCCTTCACTTGCCCCAGTTGTTGAGCTGTTGTTTTCTTCTCTTACACCAGCTCCAAGAGCACTCAGCCAGAATCCAGACCCCACTGGGCCAGGCATGGCACACACATGTAGTCCGAGAGAGACTTTTCCCCTATGAACTTGCAGTCTAGACATAGAGCAGGAGACTGGCACTCAGGGGTGTAGGTGAAAGTCACAGCTCAGCTGTAGCCTTGCAGCCTGACCTTAGACTAGTCTTTTGATGTACCCTGTAAAACGGGGAGGCTACATACTCACCTCTCAGGTGGGGTGTGAGGATAAAATCCATTAAGGATTGCCAGCTGCTCGAATGCTATTTACTAATATGTATTCCCCCTCTCCCCCGTTACCATAGCGTGTAAGCACCTCATGATCTTTAAAAGATGCTACACTGAATCTAGACAGCAAACTGGGTGAGTTTTAGTATGATCACCCTGGCAGGTGATTTTCAGCAAGGGCACATCAGGCACCTTGGCAGGCATCAGTCGGAGATGTCCCTGAAGGATGAACAGTAGCATTGTTTCCTAGGCAGGCATTTGCTCACTGCAGTGTTCCCAGTGGTGAATGGCTTAGCTAAGGCTGCACCATCAGTATCATGACCCATCTTTGTTCTCCCTCACTCCTTGTAACGTTGGGATTCATTTTCCTTTGGATCAATGATAGTCACAGCTGAGGAGAGTGTTCCATTACGACGGAACATTTCTCTGCACGGCTTTGGACTCGGAAGCAACAGACCAGGATGTAGGCAGCTAGGAGGAAATGAGTAAGCCACATATCAGCAGAAAGAGTAGATGGGAATAGCTCGTCCAACCGTCCTCAGCTGGTTTGCGATTTACTGTACAGTATAATGAGTATAATGAACTGATTCATGCACATGATGGAAATATGCCTTCTGGCCTCTCTCCATTAGGCCTCTTGAGGGAAACTTTATTGCAAGGGCTCATTAAGGTGCACGTAACAGTGTGTGCAGTGTGGGCACAGAGAAAGGCTGCTTGTGTCTGCAGGGCGGGGACTTGTTTCCATTGAAAGAGAAGTTAGACTTGCCCGATGACGCTGCCTTTCTGCCAGCTCCCTCTGCCAGGTCTGGTGATTACAGATGTGGCCTCCCACTGGGACATGGACTATTTTTCTTCTTGATTCTATTTGTAGCCCTTTTCCTCCCACCTCTGTGGAAAGATTGTCCCATTATGCTCCCTGCCTCTCCCTCTCTCTGATTGGTTGACATTCATCCTCTCGCATGTACATACCTAGCAAAAGCTCTGATTGGACACTGCTTTTCAATCTTCCTGATTTGCATAAAGGAAAGAGTCTCTAATTGGATACTTCTTTTGTCTTGTGCCTTTTTTTTTCATAGCATGTGTCATGGCTCCTTCTCCACTCTGGCATAATAAATGCAGAAGTGGGGGCCAGCAAGTGTACCCCAAAACCTTATCTACTAGGCTTTGGTATAAAACTTCCCCCAAAATCTTAAAACCCTAGATTTTGGGAATAAAACTTCTGCTGCCACCACCCAAATATTAATAACGAGATTAGGGGAAAGATCATTTGGGAAATCTCATCCCTAGAATAAAAATCAGGGCAAACAATTAACCAATGCCAGGTTAATTAAAAGAAAAGAGAAAACTTTTATTGTTACAAAAATATTCCTATTGCAAGCTTAATGATTAGACAGGAAGGTAACAAAATATACTCATGGGCTACGTCTAGACTGGCATGATTTTCCGGAAATGCTTTTAACAGAAAAGTTTTCCGTTAAAAGCATTTTCGGAACAGAGCGTCTAGATTGGCACGGACGCTTTTCCGCAAAAGCACTTTTTGCGGAAAAGTGTCCGGGCTAATCTAGATGCACTTTTCTTCAAAAAAAGAGACAGATTGACAGAGCCAGACGTGTACCCAGAAGCCTCCTGCTACGGGACAAGCCCAAGAAAGAAACCAACAGAACACCACTGGCCATCACCTACAGTCCCCAGCTAAAACCTCTCCAACGCATCATTAGTGATCTTCAGCCCATCCTGGACAATGATCCCTCGCTCTCACAGGCCTTGGGAGGTAGGCCGGTCCTTGCCCACAGACAACCCGCCAACCTGAAGCATATTCTCACCAGCAACTACACACCGCACCATAATAACTCGAACTCAGGAACCAATCCTTGCAACAAACCTCGGTGCCAACTCTGCCCACATATATACACCAGCAACACCATCACAGGACCTAACCAGATCAGCCATACTGTCACTGGTACATTCTCCTGCACATCCACCAACGTAATATATGCCATCATGTGCCAACAATGCCCCACTGCTATATACATCGGCCAAACAGGACAGTCCCTACGTAAAAGAATCAATGGACACAAATCTGATATTAGGAATGGCAACATACAAAAACCTGTAGGGGAACACTTCAATCTTCCTGGACACACAATTGCAGATCTAAAAGTAGCTATCCTGCAGCAAAAAAACTTCAGGACCAGACTTCAAAGAGAAACTGCTGAGCTACAGTTCATCTTTAAGTTTGACACAATCAACTCTGGATTAAACAAAGACTGTGAATGGCTTGCTAACTACAAAAGCAGCTTCTATTCTCTTGGAATTCACACCTCCAGATCAGCTGCTAGAAGTGGGCCTCATCCTCCTTGATTGGATCCACCTGGTCATCTCCAGCCTGATCCTGGCCTGCATATTTATTCCTGCCTCTGGAAATTTCCACTACATGCATCTGACGAAGTGGGTCTTTGCCCACGAAAGCTTATGCTCCTACACTTCAGTTAGTCTATAAGGTGCCACAGGACTCCTCGTCGCTTTTGCAGATTCAGACTAACACGGCTACCCCTCTGATACTTGACACCATGCAAGGCAGTGCTTTTGCAGAAATTCAAGTGGCCAGTGTAGACAGCTGGCAAGTTTTTCCGGAAAAGCGGCTGATTTTCCGGAAAAACTGGCCAGTTTAGACACAGCCATGGAGGAATTCCACCATAGGCTAGAACTTAGTTAAAAAAAGCCAAACATCTCTTAAGCAGTGCCAGATATCAGGTCCCATTCCCCACACTTAAAACAATAAAACCTAACGAAACTATCTAAACTTTACCCTACTTTCAGAAAGTGAAGAATTATTTCTTGGAGAGAGAGACATGTTTGTCCCTCTCTGTAGCTGCAGAGGACTCGCCCAGAGAGACCAATTCCTTTGTCCCAGTTTGAAAGTCCCACCTACATTCCTATTGGCCACTCCACCTGGCTAGGTGTAGTTAACCCCTTAATCCCCAGGCTGCTGGCTAACCCTCATAATCACGACAGCATGTGTAATAGATCTTCAGTTACCCAAGTGGGTGCACAGAACTGGCATATTTATTTTACTTAATAGCTACAGTACTTTGTATCTGACATTCCATGTGTTTCTCCTGACAGAGACCCTTGTCGGGTGTTGTATTAGTGCTTATAGACAGGGCTGAGCAGGCTTGCAGGTCAGAAGGGGTTAATCCAGGAGGGGGCCAAGAAATATACCCTTCTTTGTTTGAGAATAGCAAGGTTTGAACTGATTATAGGATCACGGAAACAAGCAATTCTGAAGACCTGTTTCAGTCACTGGCCAGTGCGGAATTGCTCCCCACAGTAAATCTCCAGCGACTTGAATCATGGCTGTGTTTATGTCTTATCTTTTCCCTGTCCAGTCTCTGTACGTATCTCTGCCTGCCCTCCTGGAGTGTAACCCCTTCCAGAGCGAGGGTCAGGAAGGTTGGCGGGCATCGCCCCAGCTGCCTGAAGAAATACGCAGAATCGTGTTGATCTACCAGGCTGCTCTAGACCTTCTCCACCAGTATGAAGTGCACCCTGAAATAGCCTCCCAGATGTTTGCCTACCTCTTCTTCTTCTCCAACACGCTGCTCTTCAACCAGCTCATGGACAAAGGTGTGTGAGACATTCGTGGGAGAGAAGGCCTTCTCCCAGACTGCCCTTGAATACTTTGTGTGTATTCATTAACCAAAGCGAACAGACCTCAAATGCCCCAGTATTGAAGCCAGCTAGACTAGGGGATGGGAATTGGCCACACGTGGGGAGAGATTTTACAGCCTCCATTGGGATGTTTTAAGATTTGAGGGGCTTGGACACACCTGGAATTCGGCATTCTGCAAAGGCGTCTTACTACTCTGGTCCCTAAATTTGTAGTAGGCTATTGAGCCGGTGCGTAGTTCATCAGTATGGCCCCACTGCCAGGGAGGGACGCCCAGACGGATACGGACAGCAAAGCAGCCAATGTGTTTCCTTCCGGGGATAAGGATGCTTTAGAACTTAAGGCACTGTGTCCCTTGTTAACCGGTGCCATCAGAGCGGTGAGTAGGAGTAAGTGTCACTTGCAATCATTCCGAGCTCTGCTTCTGCCCCAAGATTTGGGGGCAGGGAAGAGAGAGAGAGAGAGCACAGGCATTGGCCAGGCTAGTAGCAATGAAACTTATGGGAGCTAGAGTCTGGGCAGGGCTCCTGAGGTCTTTGTGACTTTACTCCCTTGCGCTGATGGACTCCATGATGGCAGCCTGTGCTCTCTGCTCTCTAGGCGGATGATTGGCTGAGATAACAGCTTAGCACCAGTTTTAGCTTCTGCTCCCTTGGCTTGACTGTGCTTTACTCTCACTAGCACGCCCCAGTCTGCTGCCGTTATCGATAACGCTCCCTTACCCCCATTAATGCCTTGGGTGTTCAGGGTCATACGTTACTCCTGGGAAAGTGTTCAGCCCCTCTTAGCTCCCCCGCCCAAGTAACGTGCCACCCCTCTCATCTCTGGCGCGGGGGCCCATAAAACGTCTGCCATTTTGATGCCAAGGGGAGGATGGTGGAGTTTGTTCCCCATCACTGCCTGATTACTGTGCATTATCAAACGCTGCACTCTGCTTCTTCACTGAGGTGCAAATCTGCTCATTAATTAATCCTAATTACCTCAGAATCCCAGTTGGGCTACAGCACGTGATACCTGTATAAACTCCAGCCACATGGCTTCACCGCCCGGTGTATTGCAGCTCATACCATATGAGTTAATAGGAGTTGGGATGCTTAAAGAATTAACCTAATTTTCCCACTCAGCCCTCTGTCCCTTTCCTGCGCAGCTCCGCCGCATTTCCAAACAGAGCCTCTGTTGTGAGCAGCAGGCTCTCTCAGCCCTGCTCCCTCCGCTGTGGCCGATGGTCCACTAAGCAAGAACAAAAAGAGGAAAGGAAACTTCGCGTTCCAGCATGGGCTTTCCTGCTCGCTCTCTGTCCCTTCGCTGGCCCAGCCACTGTGCGGAGCGACAGCGGCCTCTAGATTTAGGGCTTTGTGGTTGTTGTTTCAAATATAAAGTCACTTTAGAAGGCTCCAGGCTTGACTGTTCTGGAGAGTGGATTCCTCCATTTGCCCCTGACTCACTAACACACTGTGGCGCATGCTGTAAGCAGGCCAGTGTGCCTAGAGCTATTCTGCGAAACTCGGAGCTAAGTCCCATTGAACTCAGCACAGTCTGCTCATTACCCAACGTTGAGGCATTTTTTTGCCAGCTTGAACGATGGGGATTTCCCGAGAGCCGCTGCCCTCATCGACTCTCGGACATATCGGAACAGCAGACAGAAAACTGTCCCCTCCGGTATTGGACTGGACTTGCAACCAAACCCCAGCGGACTGTAAATTGCTGGGAGCAGTGCCTAGGATGGTTTCTAATGCCTGGTCTAAGGCAATAAGGTTTTCAAACTTTGGGTTGCGGCTTCTAAGGGCAAGCCACTAGCTGGCTGTGAGATACTTTGTTTAACTGCACCTCCACAGGTACGGGTGGTGTGTGCCTGATTACTGTGCATTATCAAACGCTGTACTCTGCTTCTTCATTGTGGTGCAAATCTGCTCATTAATTAATCCTAATTACCTCCGAATCCCAGTTGGGCTACAGCACATGTGATACCTGTATAAACTCCAGCTTCATGGCTTTACTGCCCAGAGTATTGCAGTTTATACGATATGAGTTGGGATGCTTAAAGAATTAACCTTATTTCCCACTCAGCTCCTGTTGGCTGTGGATTGCCATAATCACAGTTCCTGTTGGCTGTGGATTGCCATTCTCAGCAAATGGGAGCTATGAGAAGTGGTGCAAACCGGGACACTTGCCCCTACAAGCTGAGACCCAGAATTTGAAATCCCTGATCTACACTATGTCCCCCTCCCCCATCGATCTAAATGATGCATCTGAAGTAGACGTACTTACCACGGTGTCTTCCTTGTGGTAAGATTGGTGGGGGCAGTTCTTCCATCAACTTTAACTACTCTTCTTGTCCTGGAGGAGTACTGGAGTCGAGGGCTTTGTGGTTGTTGTTTCAAATATAAAGTCACTTTAGAAGGCTCCAGGCTTGACTGTTCTGGAGAGTGGATTCCTCCATTTGCCCCTGACTCACTAACACACTGTGGCAGCTGCTGTAAGCAGGCCAGTGTGCCTAGAGCTATTCTGCGAAACTCGGAGCTAAGTCCCATTGAACTCAGCACAGTCTGCTCATTACCCAACGTTGAGGCATTTTTTTGCCAGCTTGAACGATGGGGATTTCCCGAGAGCCGCTGCCCTCATCGACTCTCGGACATATCGGAACAGCAGACAGAAAACTGTCCCCTCCGGTATTGGACTGGACTTGCAACCAAACCCCAGCGGACTGTAAATTGCTGGGAGCAGTGCCTAGGATGGTTTCTAATGCCTGGTCTAAGGCAATAAGGTTTTCAAACTTTGGGTTGCGGCTTCTAAGGGCAAGCCACTAGCTGGCTGTGAGATACTTTGTTTAACTGCACCTCCACAGGTACGGGTGGTGTGTGCCTGATTACTGTGCATTATCAAACGCTGTACTCTGCTTCTTCATTGTGGTGCAAATCTGCTCATTAATTAATCCTAATTACCTCCGAATCCCAGTTGGGCTACAGCACATGTGATACCTGTATAAACTCCAGCTGCATGGCTTTACCGCCCAGAGTATTGCAGTTTATACGATATGAGTTGGGATGCTTAAAGAATTAACCTTATTTCCCACTCAGCTCCTGTTGGCTGTGGATTGCCATAATCACAGTTCCTGTTGGCTGTGGATTGCCATTCTCAGCAAATGGGAGCTATGAGAAGTGGTGCAAACCGGGACACTTGCCCCTACAAGCTGAGACCCAGAATTTGAAATCCCTGATCTACACTATGTCCCCCTCCCCCATCGATCTAAATGATGCATCTGAAGTAGACGTACTTACCACGGTGTCTTCCTTGTGGTAAGATTGGTGGGGGCAGTTCTTCCATCAACTTTAACTACTCTTCTTGTCCTGGAGGAGTACTGGAGTCGATAGGAGAACACTCAGAGGTTGATTTATCGTGTCTACTAAATCGATCACCGGTGTATTGATTGCTGCAGTGGTCATCCACTGTGTACTGAAGACAAGTCCTAGGATTCTAGCCCCAGATGTTACCACAACACAGATAATAACATCAAGCCTCTCTGAGGTGGGCCAAGGCAAGAGCACTCCATAGTGACCCCAAAATAACAAGAATATAAAACTACCTTGGCACACATCAAACAGCTAAAAAACTTGGCTAACTGATTGGTCCCAAAACATAACTGGAAACAGGGAACCATCATTCATGGAGTCTGTTTTCACAGGGATCCTACAGGATCTGTTCTGGGCCTTAAGCTGTTTAACATTTTTATCAATCACCTGGAAGAAATCCTACTTCCCCTATAAGGGTTATAGCTGGCACAGACATTGAGGCAGTAGTAAATAACAAGGAGGACAGGTCACCAAGGGCAAGCCACTAGCTGGCTGTGAGATACTTTGTTTAACTGCACCTCCACAGGTACGGGTGGTGTGACAGAGTGATCTGGATTGCTTGGTAAACGGCATCAATGTAAATGTACACGTCTTGGAACAAAGGATATTGGCAATACTTCCAGGAAACAGTGATTCTGAAAAAGATTAGGGGGTTGGGGTAAACAATCAGCGGAACACGAGCTCTCACTGAAACACTTTGGCCAAAAGGCTAATGAGATTGTGAAATGTATCAACAGAAAAATCTTGAGTAGAAGTAATTTACTTCTGAATTGGGCACTGGTACAACTGCTGTTAGAATATTGTATCCAGTTCTGGTGCCCATCCTTCAAGAAGAATGTTGATAAATTGGAGATAGATCAGAGAAAAAAGCCACTAGAATGATTGAAGGATTAGAAAACCTGCCTGACAGTGATGGACTCAAGGAACTCAATCTACTTGGCTTGACACAGAGAAGGTTAAAAGGGGTGACTTGATCACAGGCTATAAGGGTATGTCTACACTAGCTCGTTAATTCGAGCTAGGTAGGCAAATCAGGCGACCGGAGTTGCAAATGAAGCCCAGGATTTAAATATCCCAGGCTTTTTTTGCATGTTCCCATCCGGTCGCCATTTTGAAATTTCACTAGCCCGAACTAACTGCTGCGCGGCTACACGCAGCAGTGAAACGTTAATTTGAACTAAGTTCTTAGTTCGACTTAACTGTTACTCTTCCATGAGGAGTAACATGAGGAGTAACAGTTACTTCATGAGGAGTACTAAGGACTTAGTTCGAATTAATGTTTCACTCCTGTGTGTAGCTGTGCGGCAGTTAGTTCAGGCTAGTGAAATTTCAAAATGGCAACCGGACAGGAACATGGAAATAAAAGCCCGGGATATTTAAATCCCGGGCTTCATTTGCAACTCCGGTTGCCTGATTTGCCTACCTACCTCGAATTAACGAGCTAGTGTAGACATACCCTAAGGGTCCGCCCAAGAAACAAATATTTAATAATGGGGTCTTCCATCTAGCAGAGAAAGGTGATCCATCAGGTGAAGCAAGACATATTCTGACTAGACATTTGAAGGTGCAATTCTTTGACAGTGAAGGTAACTAATCATTGGAATGACTTACCATGGGTAGTGGTGGATTCCTCACCAGTGACAATTTTAAAACCAAGGCACTATGAATTATTTTGGTGGAGTTCTGTGGCCTGAGTTGCCCAGGAATTTGTGTTCTTGCTGCATCATGAGAACAGCGAGCATGACACAGAGGCTACATCTAGACTGCAGGCTTCTTTTGGAAGAAGCTTTTCCGGAAGAGATCTTCTGGAAAAACTTCTTTCGAAAGAGAGCGTCTACACAGCAAAAGCACAACAAAAAAGCAATCTGCTTTTTCAAAAGATAGCGTCCAATCAATGTGATTACTGTGTACTGAGTGGCCACCAGGGCATCTGTGCTTTCTCCTGGAGGCCTCTTCTTTTGAAAAAACACTCTCTTCCGCGTCCGCACACGCCTTTTTCCAAAAAAGCTTTTTTGGAATACGTAGAAAGAGGTTTGCTGCCATCAGAAAACCCCTCGGTTCTTTCGACTTTCTGTCGAAAGACCGCAATAGCAATGTGGATGTATCTATTGTTTTTCTGGAAAAACACTGCAGTGTAGACATACCCTGGAGTGTGGTTTGTGTGCGGCATGTCAGGAAGCCTGGAGAACATTTCGAGGGGGAACATTAAAGGGTTATCCCCAAGCCTGAGGTCTGTCCGCCAGAGTGACGTTTTCCATATGTCCATTGGGATGGCAGGAGGAACAGTTAGTTTTGTGTCCAGGAAGTGGGGGCTGTAGCCATGCTGTCACTGCAGCGTAAGGCACAAGGTCCAGGGGGATGACAGGGAATTAGGACCTGGATGAGGTTAAATTAGCCCCAGGGCTAACAAACTAGAGCCCTCTGCTACGTCCTGGCTTCCGCCTGGTTTAATGAGCATGGGCCCCATCCTGCTCTGAGTGAAGTCCATGGCAAAGTGGCAATGGACACTCTGGTACAGGCCCAGGCCCAACACCTAGAGCAGAGATGGGCTCTACACCCAGAACCAACTTCCTCCCAACCGGCAGGGCTCCCATTGGGTGGGTGGGTAGAGTTGTGAGGAGAGGCTCAGATTCTGGATCGCAGTGGAGGGGGGGGGGGGGTGGGGGCGCTTT